TCTGGTGGGTTGTGTACTTGGACTCTAGGCAGCAGGACCCTCTCTGGATTTTGTCACCACCAGACATATAGGGAATGAGAAGAAATTTGGTTTAAGTTCTATGAAAGGGAAAATCCTACAGTCAGAAGGGCTCCTTCCAGCTCCCTCCAGTTGCCGGCATCCATTTCCAGAAACTGGGGGGGAAGGCTCCTCCTGAGGAGGGCCTTGAGCTGCACAGTGAGTGGCTACCCTGTGGCCCAGACAGCTGAGCTCATGGAGTGCCCTCCTCTCTTCACCCCTCCCCGTTCAGCCACCACCAGGACATCGCCTTAGGTGTGGAGAGAGGGAGGACATGGGGAGTACCGTTACGGAATCTGTTGGCCAAGACCTGCAGGCTGAACTCCCCCAGTCCAGAGCCCCCGCAGGTGTCAGTGCCCTGACTAAATCCCAGGGACACGCCACCCTTTGTGGCAGGCTTTTCTGAGCAGGTCACGCCAAGAGAGGGTGCAGGGCAGGGTGCCCCGGCCCTGGGATCCTGGCTGCACCCGGGCTGTGTGGCCCAGAGTCCTGACCTCCTGGAACAGACCTCATTTCCTGTCTCCCTGTCTTCCTCTGTAGCCCCGGCCCTCCACTTGATCCTTCCTGAGGAACCAGAATTCTAACTGGAATTGTAACACATGAACACCCAGCCTTTAAAGCTCTAAAGGGAGGTATAGCTACAACTTCCTGAGCACCTGCTGTAGGACAGGAAGTAGGATCACATCATTTCATTGAATCACCCAACAATCCCAGCTGCTGGGCATTGTTATTACCATCATTTGAAAGATAAAGATCCTGAGGCTCAGAAAAATTAACCAGCTTTCCTAAGCTCAGATCCTTGGAGAACTTCTAATAAACACTGACATGACTTTTTTTTTCTTTTTAAGATTTTATTTATTGGGGCAACTGGATGGCTCAGGCAGTTAAGCGTCTGTCTTGGGCTCAGGTCATGATCCTGAGGTCCTACCACTGAGCCCCGCATCAGGCTACCCACTCAGTGGGGAGTCTGCTTCTCCCTCGCCCTCTGCCTCCACCCACACTCCTGCCCTCTCTCTCTCACTCATCAACTCTCTCAAATAAATAAATAAAATCTTCTTTAAATTTGTGTTTGTTTGAGAGAGAGAACATGAGCAGGAGGAGGAGCAGAGGGGAGAGAGAAGGAAGGGGAAAGAATCTCAAGCAAACGATCTCATGACCCTGAGACCACCACCTGAGCGGAAACCAAGAATCAGGCACTTAACTGACGAGCCCCCCTCGTGCCCCCATACTGACATGATTTCTAAGGCTTTTAGAGTGTGATTTGCATTGTGTATGTATATGCTTTAATGAGACAAAGTCTGATATGGAAGCAAGTGGACTCAAGACATTCCTAAATATATTCCAGCTAAGCACATTTTACTTATTTGTCAAGGTTGGGTTCAAATCCTACCTTCTCTGTGCTGTCTGCCTTGACTGCTCCATCCCTCAAGGATTTCCCACGTTCCGCATTTTGTGGGTTTGCCACTCAACCACCACTACATGTCAGGCCCCCAAGGACAAGGGCTGCGGTTGCCCATTTTTGAACCCTCTGCTGCAAAGATTTCCCTGGCTACAAGAGCTGAGCCCTGCAAGGAAGAGTCGCAGTTCATTTTAAGCCTTGACTCCCAAATCACATCCCCTTTTCAAGACGTGGCTCGAACCGTCTAACCTGCCAGCAGCTTCTCTGACCACACCGGCTGAAAGTGAGCAGCCTCACTTTCAAAATCGCCATTTGGGTGAAAAGGATTTGAGTGCTAGACTCCAACAGACCTACTTAGAATTCAGGTTCTGTCTCTCCTGAAGCAGGGCATTCTGAGCAAGTCGCTCCATTCCTCCCAGCCTCAGTTTCCTCATCTGTAAAATGTGAATATATGCACTTGCCTCACTGGGTTGTATGAACTATAAATGTGACAATGCATCTGATGCATTGTCTGCCCATAGGCCGTGATCCAAAATGGCAACCAGCATCATTACCATTCATCACACTGTCTTACAGGGAAGGCGTTTACACACATATCTTTTCTAACCTTCTAGATCAGTGGTTCTCCAACTCTGGAGTATGTCAGAATCACCTAATACGAAGCTACCTAGGGCACACCCCAAGCCTACAAAACAGAACCCCCATTAGGCAGGGGAGATGCTGGGGCCTGGGCAGCTCCACTTTGAACAAGCCTTCCCGGTCCACTGCAAGTGATTCTGAACATGTACTCCCTGAGCCTGGAAAATTCGGCTAGAGAATATTCAATTTCCAAATTTTTCCTCCATAGAACCTTAAGAGATACTTCCAAACACCTGGTTTCCAACCTCAGCTGCAACCCCTAGAGATTCAGGACTGCAACCCCCAGAGATCCAGATGTTGTTTTGGGATGTGACTGGGGTATTGAGATTTTTCAAAGGTGGACAGAAGATTCTAAGGGTCAGTCGGCCAAGGCTGAAAATCACTAGTCCATTTACATGTCCTCTGAGACAAACAGAGTCCCAATCTGATGCTGATTTAACAGAAAGGACTCTTATGCTAAAAGAATTTTTAAAAAAGTGAGTTTGCAAACAGTTGGCCTAGCCTGTGAGTAAGAGCTTTCAGCCCCCGACCCGGCTTTCATTCACCTTTGTGTCTGTCCCAGGACCTTACAACATAGTAAATTCTTAATAAATATTTGTTGGAAGGTTGAACAGTTCTGTTTTATTTGTTATCTGGCTCCAATTAAGTTTTCGGTTGCCTAGCATAACAACCTAACGGTTTTCTTAAACATCTAAGCCTTAACAGCCTCTGCCTCAAACCTCAAACCTGAAACAGAAACTGGGGCAGACAGCCATCCAGCAAACACTGACATTTCTTCTGGGGCCACATATACTATGCAAGCTCCTAATGACGGATAAATATAAGCAAATGTGATCTTCGTCAGCCGGGAAGAGTGTGACAGCTGTCAGCAGCTCAGGCCTCCCAGCCTCATGTTTGGACTGCTCCCTCTGAAGCTGTCAAATTACGAGAGGATGATAAAAACTTGTAGGAACTTCATAGTAAACAGTAACTGGCCCCCTGTCAATAAGTTAGGAGAAAAAAATTTCCCGCTGCCAAAGCACATGGGCCAGAATGCCTGCAGTACAGGCCTGGGCCAGCGAGAGCCGGTTCCCTGGGCAGCTCTTCTAGGTTCTCAACCACAGCGGCTGTAAGAGAAGGTCGTGAGCACTCCAGGGATACGGGAGCCGGAGCACCTTCAACTCTTAGCTTTTCTAGGGCTCTAGGGCTCTGGGAGCCCTTTCATCTCGTAGGCCCTCGGATTCCTTGTGTGTAACAGCTACCTGATCGGGTCCTTAGCGCCGTGACTGCCTGGGTTTGAATCCCAGCTCTTTACACACTGGCTGGGTTGCTTTTGGCAAGTTTCTCCACTTCTCTGGGCCTCCTCTTCTGCACCTCTAAACTGAGGATGATACTAGCATTATTTCATACGGTCATCAGTGTCGAGGGACAAGAACAGTGCCTGGTATAGAACAGGCATTCGATAAACTTTAGTTATTATAAACCTGCAACTCTCAAACCGAGAATTTTGAAAACCAAGGCTTTTTCTTTTCTTTTCTCCTTATGTTCCTGTTGGTTTGGTGTCAAAATTCACTGGGCTGCACACCTGTCCTAAAGGGTCACAAGACTATTAGGCTCTTTTTTTATCCTACTTAATACGAACTTTCAAATGTTTCACGGCAGAAGTAATAATACAATCGATTATGGGACTCTGCCCCATACCACAGAATGGAGGCCATTAACATGTGAAATAAGCGCTGAATTATCTTTAGAGATTCTGAGAAGTTCTGGATTCTAAAATGCATTGGCCATAAGGACCTAAGATAAGGGAATGGGGAGCTATCCTCTTATGGGTTGTGCTCAGATAAAAGGAAGGAGGCATCCTCCCAGTGGATTTCTCTTCCCCTCCCCCTGCCAGGCCCTGCCAGGCCTCAGAACTCACAGCTCTTCCCCTCTTCTATCCACCCAAATTCTGTTTATCCTTCAGAATTCGGCTAAAGCATCCTCCCTGTGAAATGGTCCTCTCTAAACTCCTACTGAGCATATCAAGGGACCAGGGAGGGTGGTTGGGTTGTAACTTCCTTAGACCTCCGGGTGGATGCACTGACGGCCTACAGCACTGGGCTGAGACAGACCTTCGAGAAGCATCTAGCTGCAGCGCAAAAGAGTGGTCACCACCGATATCCCATTCTCCCTGTAAATGTCCGTTTGTTGTTGTTTCTGTTTTTGTATTAATAAGCTCTCAGAATCTATCGTGGACCTAGGAGCATTCAACAAATGCTTTTGAATGAATGCTGACTCATCTGTAAAGATGGGTTGACTGATTCATTGACACAGCTACCTTTCCCACGGACACTGCCTCCTTGGTCGTATTCATGCGGGCCTAGCCATGGGAGGCGTTTTACAGCGGTACAACTGTTTGAACGCTGCTATGCAACACACCCTATGCAAACTCTACAAAAGTGTTGGGTCGTTAATTGGACATATCCTCAAAGCAGCGTGTTCACTCAAAACTCTCCGGGAAAACTTTCTGGAAAATGCATAGACTTCTGAAACCAACGGTCTGGGAGCACGTGTGACTCCACGGACGTTCAGTTTGCGGAAAGACTGGAAACTCGCATCAGCCCCGGCATGGGAAGGCCCCTCGTCCAGCATCCGACCTCCCTTCCCTGGGCACCCAGGGCGCAATGGCCCTGAGGGCTCCCCACTGCCCGCCTTCTTTCAACCCTCCCCACAGGGCCTCCCTAAGGTTGATGCCTAAGGGCCTTCTCAGAATTAGCTTCACTTTGAAGACTATTCAGAACCACAGAGTGGGGTGGGAGTGGCCTCAACGCTTAAAGGGCTGCAAAACACATCAAAAGATGAAAGGAAATATGCTGAGCCAAGAATTCCTCCCCAGCCGCCGAGCATTCCCCGCGCAGGCCGGGACTCAGAGCGCAGGACCTACGGGAGGGCGCAAGGCGGGGGACAAGGGCAGGGACACGGGCAGGGGAGGTGGCGGGCGGGCGCGTGTACCTTCTTTCCGCCGTGGGGTCGCGGGCCCGCGCCTGCGGGTGCCGGCTGCCCCGCGACCCCGGGCCCTGGCGGCTGGCCTCGGGGCCGACCGGGGCGCGCAGCTCCTGGCGCTCGCGGCTCCGGTGCAGCGGCACCGACGTGCGCACGGCCGACACCACGTGGCCCGCGAAGGCGCGCGGGGGCGCTCCGGGCCGCAGGGCCCCCCGCGCGCGGTACGAGCTGGGCAGGCAGGGCCGCGTCTGCTCCATCACGCCGCCGCTGCAGCTGCGCGAGCAGGCGGACCAGGGCCCCCAGGCGCCCCACACGCCCGGGGAGCCGCCGCCGCCGCTGTCCTCGGGGATGCCCTGGGCCGCCGCCATCCGCTGCGGGACCTGCGGAGACAGAGGCCGGTTAGGGGACCCGAACACCCGCTCCTGCTTCACCCCCAGAGGCTCTGGATGACCCGAAAGCCCCGTCTGTTAGGCACTGGGCCGGTTTTAAAATCAGAAGAATGAAATGAATACAGTCCAGCCTGGGTTATATTCGTCTTTATACCGATGCACTCGTAAAATAGAACTTTTTTTTTTTTGTCAAAGAGAGAGGGAGAGAGAGCAAGCACTGGCAGGCAGAGGCAGAGGGAGAAGCAGGCTCCCCGCCAAGCAAGGAGCCCGATGTGGGACTCGATCCCAGGACGCTGGGATCATGACCTGAGCCGAAGGCAGCTGCTTAACCAACTGAGCCACCCAGGCGTCCCAAAATAGAACTTTTTTTTTAACCAGAGAAGGGCGACACAAAGATCAAAGCGCCCAAGGCTCACAAACATCCTAATTCGGTCCTTGCTTCCTCTGCCGTGGCCTTGGAGAGCTCAGTGTGGTGCCCTCAGCTCCTCCTGAGGCTTACCCCTCAGGACTCCCCCTTAACCTCCCACTTAGGTCTTCAGGGTGCAGGCCAGACGGACTGTACTTCCCTTAAGCTCCTGGGGAGGCCCCGGGGCCCAGTCTCCATGCAGGCAGGAGGATGGGACACTGCCATTTAGAGGCCCTGCCCTCGCGTCACCTCCCTGCCACCGCTTCTAGCCCTGTGACTGGGAAGTTTCTGAATCTCTCGGAGCCGTACTGTGTTCTAAAGGATGGTCCCTACCTCACGGGGACACAATAAATGTAAGTCAGGTCATGCATGCGCAGAGCAGGGAGCCTGGCACGAAACATTTGTCAGTAACCACAGTGATGATTTTCCAGCTTCCATGGTCAATCAGAAGACCTGAGAAATGTCAGAAAGTTTTAAAGTTCTAACCTAGAGGGTGATTCTACACTCTTATTCACGTAACCGGTCATTTCACAGGGAACAGCTGTGCCAGACAGGGCGCTCAGTGTGGGGACACGGTGCCCCCGCAGACACGCTCTGAGGACCAGTTACATCCCCGCGGGAAGCTGAGCGCTGAGGACCAGGAGGAAAGCACCCTAGATCCACATTAATGGCCTGGACCCAGCAGAAATGTGTTGTGCAGCTAGCACAAGATTGGGGAGCCTTCGGGGGGGACTGGCTTCCCTGGGCTTGAAGGGATGGAGAGGGGAGAGGGATTAAGAAGGCCTCAGAGGAGGACTCAGGTAACAGCTGTGACAGTCAGGTGTGTACTCAGTCCCAGGTAATGCGTGTCATCTCCAGGCTTCACCGTGGCCCTGCTGTCTACCATTCTCACCTCTCAGAGGAGAGGTTTGCCACCTGAAGCTCAGAGATGAGTGACCCACCCGAGTCATGTTGGCGTAGCCGGGTTTGCAGTCAAGTGTACCCAACTCCCATTCCCACAGCTCCAGCACACCCTGCTCTCCCCCAGCAGAGAGCTGCCCTTGAGTTTCTGGATCCTTTGCCTGGAATGTCCTTCTTACCTGTGTGGCACTGACCAACACTATGACTTTCCTTGGAAACGTGAGTTTTTGAGTGAGCCTCACCATTCCATCGGAAGTACAAAAAGCCATGATTAACTTGGATTTTTTCTTTTTTTAAGATTTTTTTTTAAGATTTTATTTATTTATTTGTCTGAGAGAGAGTGTGCGCAAGCGGGCAGAGTGGCAGGCAGAGGCTGAGAGAGGCAGGCTCCCCGCCAAGCAAGAAGCCCGATGTGGGACTCAATCCCAGGACCCTGGGATCATGACCTGAGCCCAAGGCAGTGGCTTAACCCACTGAGCCACCCAGGCATCCCTAAGATCTTTGTTTTTGACAGATTTTTTGGCCCAAAGCTCAAAGCTCAAAGACTTTTCATGGTCGAATCCTCTGTCCCCACAGTACCACTGAGCTGTAAGCCCGTCCAGGGATGGTCCTCTCCTTTGTGTGGAACAAATCCAAGAAGGCAGAGCTCCTTCACATCACATGGAAATGAGAAGAGAAAATGAGAAGAGAAATGAGAAGAGACAGAGAGGAGAAGAGACAGAGAGGAGAAGAGACAGAGAGGAGAAGGCCCTGTGACCACCGAGGCCGACTGGAGAGATAATAGCCATGAGCAGCAACACAGGGAGCCAACACAAACTGGAAGAAGTTACTAGGGATGTCCCCCTAGTAACTGGAAGGAGTATGGCCCTAGCAACACCTTGACATTGAACTCCTGGCCTCCAGAACGGTGAGGGAGAAATTTCTGTTTTTTTAAGCCATCGAGTTTGTGGTAACTTGTTACAACAGCCCAAGGACACTAATGCAGTGTTTAGTACAAGGATGAAAAGTGGACAGGCATTTGCTGAGTCCCTTTTCCGAGTCTGGCATTGTGCAAATGCCTCACGGAGGGACCAGGTCTCTGGCGTAGACACCATTAGCTCCAGGGTACATTTTACAGGGTGCTCGGCCACCCTGAGAGTTTGGTGTCATTTTGTCCCTTCTGCAGGAAAGAACTGGGGCCTCCAGAGGCTGCGTGACTTGCCCAGGCGCAGGCTGGTAAGGGGCACAGGCAGGGCTGACACTGAAGCCTGCCTGTTCCTATGTCCGGGTTCCTTTTTTTTTTTTTCCCCTGAAGCATGTTGCCTCCCTGCCCGCTTTTGGTGGAAAATCGAAGGTTAAAAGGAGTCGAAATACATCCCCTTTGATAGTTCTAGAAGGGTAACTGGGATAAACAAACAAAGCCAGAAGTATGTGTCTGGCACATCCGGGGATTCTGGGTATCCAGGACCTCCTGATTCCTCGTGAGCACAAAGAAGGAAGGCACTGTCGCTAACTTTTGCATGAGGCATGTAGTTCCACTGGAACTCCACTTCCTAGAACTAATCCCATCCTTAATTTAGCTTCCCGTTGCCAAATTGGGCAGGGTCCCTGGGGGAAGAAAACATGAAACCACATTCCATCCTATTCTATTCATAAGAATTCTCTAATTTATAGTTGAATTATGGTGAGTGACTTGAAATTCCATCTCAGTCCCCATGGTAGGAATCCAACCACATACTCCAAAATTGTATTTTCATAGTACGCAGCCAGAAACAAAGAAAAAAGAGACTGGGGAGGGGGGCAATGGGAGGAAGGAAGGGAGGGGAAAGGTAAACAAAGAGAAAGAAATGAAGAAAAAAAACAAAGAAAAAATAAAGGGGGGTGCTCTGGATGTGGGCCTCCTAGCTGCATCCGAGCCCCACCTCAGCCGGCTCCTCCCCAGCCCTCCTGATGACCACCACCCTCCTTGTTTTCTGACAGTCAAGGAGTTTTCTGGGAAGCATAGCAGGAAAACTTTCAAGTGTACTAAGATACAATATTCCCCAAATCATGACTAATTAACAAGACCTATCTGTGACAAGAATCAAAACCAAGGAACAAACCATAAGAGACTCTTAATCTCACAAAACAAACTGAGGGTTGCTGGGAGGTGGGAGGCAGGGATAGGGTGGCTGGGTTATGGACATTGGGGAGGGTATGTGCTATGGTGATCGCTGTGAAATGTGTAAGCCTGATGATTCACAGACCTGTAACCCTGGGGCAAATAATGCATTATATGTTAATAAAAATAATTTTAAAAACAAAACAAAACAGGAACTAAATCACGATTGGACAAAGCCAAATCAAGAATAGAATCTTAAAGCCTTATAACCTGCCAGCACATTGCTTCTTCCCCAGTATACACATGTCATGTTAAGACTGAAGCAGAAAGGGATGCCTGGGTGGCTCAGTAGGTTGGGTGTCTGCCTTCAGCTCGGGTCATGACCCCGGAGTCCTGAGATCGGGCCCCCTTTTGGGCTCCCTGCTCAGCAGGGAGCCTGCTTCTCCCTCTCCCTCTGCCTGCCTCTCCCTCTGCTTGTGCTCTCTTTTTGCTCCAAATAAATAAATATATATAATATGTACTATTATATATAATATATAATAAATAAATATAATAAATAAATAAATAATAATAAATAAATAAAATCTTTTTTTTTTTTTAACTGAAGCAGAAAACCTGAGGCATTTCTAAAATGCACCCTAAACGGCTGTTTTTTCCTCACTTACCAATTATTTCCAACCAATCGGTCAGAAAAACACAAACAATCAGATGAAAGTAGGGACAAAGGTCATGAACAGGTTGTTTATGGTCGTCAGGGACTGAATGTTTGAGTCCCTCTCAAAATTCAAACGGTGCCGCTTTGCCCCCCACGGTGATGGTATTTGGATGGGAGGGCCTCAGGGGTTCCTTGGCTTTAGATGATGTCATGTGTGTAGGACCCCACGATAGAATTCATGTCCTTAGGAGAAGAGGAAGAAAGATTGGGAATCCCCCTCTCTCTCCAGCACGGGAAGACATACTGAGAAGCCAGTGTCTGCGAGCCTGAAAGAGAGAATTTGTGGGGAAGCAAATCTTGACCCTGGATTTCTCAGCCTCCGGGACTGTGACAAACAAATGCCTGGTGTTTGCGCCCCCTGGTCATTGGTATTTTGTCATAGCAGCCCGGGCTGACCAGTACAAAAGGGAAATAACTACAACATGTGAAAACTGTTCAACATCACCTATAGTCAAACAATGCAGAGTAAAACAACAGAATTCCATGTCACACCCATTAGATTGGCGAAGAATATAAAGTTTGACAATACTGATGCGGCAAGAACGTTCACTGCTGGTGGGAGTCTAAGTTAGGGCAACTTCTTTGGAGGTCACTTTGCAATACTTGTCACGATTTTAAATGCACGTACCCAGCGGCTCTGCTTCTTTTTTAAAAAGATTTTATTTATTTATTTGACAGACAGAGATCACAAGTAGGCAGAGAGGCAGGCAGAGAGACAGAGGGGGAAGCAGGCTCCCCGCTGAGCAGAGAGCCAGATGCGGGGCTCGAACCCAGGACCCTGAGATCATGACCTGAGCCGAAGGCAGAGGCTTCAACCCATTGAGCCACCCAGGCGCCCCTCAGCGGCTCTGCTTCTAATAGCTCACACTATAGATATATTCAAAATCAGT